TAGTAACATGGACGAATCCACTCATTGTCTTGATTGTAGGTCAATCATGTTTGGGTGGGTCTTCCTGGGAGTATTCGTGCATTGTAATCGAGATTGATTAGCTTTCAACAATGTACGGATGATATACAGTGCGTCTCATAAAAAAAACGAAACCGAGAAATATCAATGTTTTATCATAACTTAACCAGTGCACAATTATAATTAATAAATGACACATATTTGTAAAGCTTAGATCTTCTTCCTTCATTTGATGCTACTAAACAAAAAAGTCATTTGGCAAACGGTATCTGAAGTTCAAAAGAGAAAATGACATTTCTAAAATTTCATTTTCTGCCCTTTAAAAGGTCGCCTCAATCAGGAAGAATCAGCCAGGAATAACAAAGTTCTAACAACAAATAAAGAAGGCGAAAGACTTCATGCATGGCTGATCGTTAACGAACGGAGTTGAGTCTTTTGAAATGAAAGAGGAGGATCTGAGCTTTACAAATATGTGTCATATATTAAATATAAGTGTGATTAAGTAATGATAGAACATCGATAATTCTCGGTTCCTTTTCTTTTGGATGCACTGTATAATATAAATAATAATAATTGGGTCTTATTTACCCAGGGTAGCCATATCAGTGGTGTAAAAGAAATAGGAAACTATGATCATTTTAAGAGGAAATTAAAGGAATACCTAATACTTGACAGTCAGAGAAGAGAAGTGAATGACATGTTATATGATTGAAATTTTTATTCTTCTGTCGGTTAATACTTTTTCATGTTGTATATACTTATGTTTTCGTACGTTATAGAAATTCTACAAATTAATCATTATTTTCCTCTTCTTCCTTCTCCTCTTTTTCTTCTTCTCCTTCTTCTTTTTCTTCTTGTACTTAATATCATTTCTATCATCAGTTTAATGCTGTTATTATTATTATTATCTTTAATGAGTAGTTCTTTTAATTTTCTTATCTGTCTGTAAATATTACTATTTTAACTTATTAATTTTATACATGTCTGTAAGGGACCCTTACAGCTTGCATACATGTAGCTCTCTGTGGCTACAGCTAAAGCTCTCGAGCTTTCGTGGGTTATCCTGTTCAATCTGACTTATTTTTGATCTGTTATTATTGTATATTGTTGTATGTTGGAAGCTTGTCGAATAAAAATCAATCAATCAATCAATCAGTATTTATACTGCCATTCCTGTGGTATCTGCACTTTTATAATAAGGTACTTATTTACACTGGATGGAGAGTAGAAAATGTGGATTAATATCCTGCAAAAAGACATAAGTGCTGAGCTGGGATGGGATTCGAACCATCAACCATTGGATGGAGAGTCAAGCGAATGAACCAATATACCACAAACCTCCATGTACGTGCACTTATATGACTACAGCGTCTCCATGGAAATGGTCTTGACGAGGAGATATAGCTCTAGTAGTCCAGTTGTCTTATCACTTGACAGCGGATGCGAAGGTCATGGGTTCGAACCCCGATAGGGTACTTACGTCCTTCAGGAAAGCATTTTCATCTGCTCTCTCCGAACAGATGGATGCATGGTGCGAAGTTTACTGTTATTATTATCAATAATATCTAAAAGGTTATTACCGTACTTCACCTTTTACACAAGACTGTTGACTAATGCTTATTTTAGTCAAGTTCTCAAGAACTTACATGGACTTGGAAACAAAGGAAATTGTTTCGGTAATTTCAGGATGATAAGGAATGTCCAAAGTAACCTCTCTAGACTGAGGAATGACAAACTAAAAATGAATTAAAAAAAATATATAAATTACGCAAAAAATTAAAATGAAATAATGAACAAATAGTGAGACTAAAATTACTATCGTTGAAGTCTTTCAACTTTAAAATATCATTCAAACTCTCAGAGTCATTGCTTTGATTTGGGGCTGTCGTTTTATCAAGCAATCTGCTTACAATGACAGTTCCTCTACCGCAAATAATTTTATAATGTTTGAGGAAATTTAGTATTTATGACAGTTTATCATTTCGTTGTTGAAAATAACAATTGTTATACATGTAAATATATTTGCTTATTTATGATTCATTGTCAGAAAAATAGTTATTGTACTTTATATTATTATTATTATTATTATGTTATAACAAAAGCTGTGTACTTTTAATACATGAATGCAGAAGAAAATCAAATCAAATCAAATCAAATCAAAATTAGCTACATATCAGATATTTTCTGAGATAGGCCAGGGAACAAAAGAAATCAAATAATTATTCCTCTCTATTTCTCTAATTATAAACTTGTCGGGAAGGGGTATTTGCAAACACTATGCATTGACTACATGGATGATTAGTTAAGCTGTATCAAAACCAACTTCATAACATATTTAACATGGTCACAAATAAATGAATAAGTAATAAGTAATACGATTGGTAACGTGGAGAAGATTGCAATGCAAAGGAAGTAGAAAATACTAACTGAAGGATGTACTTCCTCTTTCATTTCCAGTTAGTTCAAACCTGCATACAGTTTTTCGTCCTCCATTTAGGCATGAGATCTTTGGATTTTTTAAAATCACCTTTTTGAATAACAATATTATACTGTATTACTGTTTCGGTGTCAGCACCATTAAGGCATTTGGCTTTCCTAGCTGTCTCCACAATCATATGACATTTTTGTTGTTGTTGTATTCTATTTAAATGTTTCTCTTTATTTTTGTACGCTATGTTTTGTATTTTATATGTTTTTTATAATATTTTTATGATGAATGAAATAAAGATCAATTCAATTCAATTAAAAAATTCTTCGTAATAGGCCTACCACAATAAATTCGTGAGATAAAAGATCGAAAGCAATATTTACTATTTTGTTGGTACATATATGAGTATTGCATAGATGCTGTCTGCATGTTCTCTTTAAAAATAGATTAAATGTGAGCATCCAATTTAATTTTAATATTAAAGTACTTTGTTTTGCCAAACTAAACAGGTATAGTCGAGTGAGAGAGAGAGAGAGAGAGAGAACGAGAATATATTTAGACAAAGAACGCATTGATCGTAATATTTAAGAGTGGATATCCTTGGAGATGAATGAAATAAAATAGACAACGAAGGCTAAAGATAATAGCGGAGATGAATAGAAACATATCGTACACAGTACATAGACTAGAATAAGAAAGAGAATATCACTTAAAAGGTAAAGTGTACGTGAACAAGATTATTCCACACCGTCAAATCTTGTTGTAATCATGTAGATAGATAACTAATTTGCTAGCTAAACAGGAAAACGATATAGAAAAACCGACAAAGAGTTGAAAACAATAGTGGAAAGGCCCTCCAAAAATATGGAGGAAAATAGGGATATATGTTAAGGAGAGATGGTATGAAGAAAGAAAGAAGGGGCCAGAGGGGAGAGGGGAGACACGGATAGGAAGTGAGGAAAGACAAGAAAGAAAATGAATGAGAAAGAAAGAGAGAGAATGAGAGAGAGAGAGAGAGAGAGAGAGAGAGAGTGAAAACGTGAGGAGGGGTCGGGAAGGAGGAGACAACTTTATATCGTCAATATTTTTTCGCTTCTATGAAGAGAATACGAAAGAAAAGAGAACGATTGAAAACGGCCTCTGATCTGCGAGGCAAATTAATGGAAACAAACGGAAACGGAAAGCAAGCAATTTACATTTCTAGCATTGTGCTGTAAGGAAGAAATATATGAACAAAACGTGCAAACAAATAATTGAGTATATCTGTTTTATTATGATATCATGATGACATGGATTTATACGAAAGAAAACACGGAAAGTTATAATCATAATTTTAAGAATATGTCTTGTATGATGGTGAATAGTTGTAATCATGTGATGGTTAATGCATCCATATCTAATTCTGTCTAACCTATTAAAGAAACAAGAAAATTCACTTAATATAAATAAACAATCAAATTTTAATATATATACATATTTAAGAATCTTAGCGAGTATCCTATTGGCTGAAAAGGTGTCACGTGACACGCAACATTTTGGTATACATGTAGGTATATTTGTACAATAAAGCTTTAGTGATATATGTTTTGAAAATGAAATATATTCACATATTACGTTTGTCGCCTGCCAAAGGTGGATAATGTAGTCTATATACATTGACAACTAGGTGAATTAAATGTCAGTATTGTCCATAGTCATTAACATCACGACCGCAAAGACACTCGAAAAATCAACCAAAGAAATTTCAATAGCCTTGTCAATCAGCTATTGAAATGTACGAACATAACAATAATGTATTAGGTAATCCGAGCATTATTTAAATGGGAGAAACAATAGGGTATCGAAATTGCAACTGAGCTGAGTTCTCAACGTATTCTGTGATCGTGTTATACTTGAATATCATTTAATGTAATTCGCCGGGATATAATTTGTATTAAAAAAATGATTAAGCACATTAGCTTCTAGAACAAATGAATTGTAAATGAGTCAAAATTCTGTACATAAATATTACAATAATCACACATAAAAAGTTTGTATACATTATATAGCGTTTTTTGACACTAAAGAAATTTCAAATTGAAATGATATAAGAAATGCTATTTACCATTACAATGATAATATATAGTAATAATTTTTAATTTCTTTATTTAACAAAGCATTTGTATCTCTACCAAGACCCAATCTCACTGGAAATTTTTTTCAAACATTTTTCTTTTGCCGTAAGGGAACTATTTTAGCTCTTGTCTATCCTAGCCCGGGCCAGAGAATTCTGAATTTCCTAGTGCTTTAAAGGTATTTGACTTTGTCCTTTATTTCTGACTTAGTCCTCCAATCGGTTGACCTGGCAACAAATCTGTTTGCAACATCATGCACAAATTCTCCCACTGAAGATATTATTGCATATTCTCCTTACTGCATTGTTATTGGTAACTCCTTGAGATAATCAGTTTAAAGTCAGTTACCCTGAATTCAGAACTAGACTGAAATTGATCTCCTCGACTATAACATCTTAAAATATTAGACATCTATTACCATTGAAACATATCTTATATCACTATTTGACAGACGGTAGTGTAGAGACTATTGCATGTCCTGGCTTGCCATTTGTTAATGATGGGTCCAACGGCGACGCATCCCTCCATTTCTCTTCCACTCGGTTGGCCTTGATACCAATCTGTTTGGAAAATCATGAACACGAACACAACTGAAAGTATTTTCCTTAGGTGTACTTTGAGTATGCTAATAGGATTTTAAAACGTTGACAGTGGATGGTTGTGGCGCCCCCCCCCATCCGTACACCAACTTGATAAAATGCCTACCCTATGTTCAAAGAAACTGACTGATTAAAAGAATAAAATGGCCTTCAACGTTAAAAGGAGTCCCCCTTATGGAAATTCCCTCTATTTAAAATATGTCATGTTCTTATCGCATTTATTGTGTGGGTTTTGTCTAAACGACAGTAACTTTATATCAGCGAATTTGTACACCGAGTGCATATCTGATGTTAAGGAATACATTCAGATTAGACTTTAGCTTAGGCCCACGAGATCACACATTTTAGTGAACCTTCAGTGTACAATAGTCTCGTGAACCTTTGATCTTGTCATTAGATTAAACTCATATCTAAGGAGACCTCAACTTGTCTCCGACTTTTTGTCCCTTGAACCTATCGATTAGTCCTAAAAAGGTCACCGAGACTTGGGAATTTCTCAATTTACAATTCATCTTGGGTCTGGTAGGCCTTCAGTCCCATGAATGTTTGTGACAATGTTGTAATTGATGAAGACACCGAGGCTGATGAGATAAAGTTCTATACCTTTCCCGTGCCACTTTTCTCAATTATTAATAATATTTTCTACAAGATACATTGGTATATACAACAATTTCTTAATGCAGTTCATTACTGAGCACGACAGCGTGTGAGTTAACGGACTCATGTCAGTGACCTGTGGTGCGATCAGAACAGAGTCACGCCGCTTAAAGATCAATCTATAAGGAGAGACTAACCTTAGCTTCTCTACTTACTTGTTACATTTGTAAGGGTACCTTCTGCGTCGGAAAAACACTCGAAGTTCCCATCGGCCTGACGATCGATACAGTTGACCCAGAAGAACAGGGTGAATGAAAACCCCCACAAATATCTAACCTTGATAATCTCGGCAGCGGAGTCAACGAAGAGCACTGACGAGTTACCCGTGACGGTGGCATTCACCGCCACAGGGCTAAGGCTGCTGCAGTAGCTTACGGCATCGTCAAATATTTGTTTATCGGGGTACAAGTGGTAGCACTTGGTTTGAGAGCATTTCCATTCTGAAATTTAAAAATATTTGAAACGTTAGATATGATAGTAGTCTGCTGGCACAGACCCCATTTGGTACTTCAATATAATTTCATACAGCATTGAGCCTAGCTAAACTTTGTCGGTCTATGTCTGTATCAAGGAACATAAGAGCTATATGTAGTGTAGTAGACCATATATCCTACGTAGCCTTATATTTCAGACACTCTGTTATTTTTGACTGTAAAGGATTTGTCGAGTACTTTTTCAACCTGTTCTTTCTTACAATTTAGATGCAATGATAACATTTACAATAACAATAATAATATCAATATAGATTAGTATTGCGCCTAATACTAATACGTGACACTAAGTGATAATCATACGGCAAATCTTCGCATGATCTTCCGTTTCCATTCCACGAAAGATCGTGTAACGCGACTACCCGTCCGGACGCGATGACCCGATGATCCGAAGTAAGCCTAGTAGAGGAAAATATTGCAGTAGAATGTATTCTTGTGCAAACTGCCTTGGGGAAAATGCTATTTTGACTAAACTATTTGGACATCGCGGTTTTCAATGACATTCATTTTGATATATGTATTTTCAGCTAAAAAAAATCACCTAAACCTGTATTCGTTATTCTTATATATGAATTTCTTTTATGTTAACTCTTACCAATTGACGGGGGTGCAGCTGTAGAAGATCTTTGTGTTATTATTGTTGTTGTTCTGGATTCGGTTGTAGATGCATTCATTATACCAACTGGATCGTTAACAGATCCTGCGGTTGTGGTACTGGATGTTGTAGTAATCTCTGTGGTCGTAGGTTGGTCTGTGGTAGGCGTATTGGTAGTGATAGGTTTGCTTGATGTTGGCATCTTGGTAGTTGTGGGTTCATTTGTTGTAGGATTTGTATTGGTAGGTTGAATTGTTGTTGGCATCTTAGTAGTTGTAGGTTCATTTGTTGTAGGATTTGTATTGGTAGGTTGAATTGTTGTTGGCATCTTAGTAGTTGTAGGTTCATTTGTTGTAGGATTTGTATTGGTAGGTTGAATTGTAGGCGTTTTGGTAGTGAAAGGTTTGCTTGTTGTTGGCATCTTAGTAGTTGTAGGTTCATTTGTTGTAGGATTTGTATTGGTAGGTTGAATTGTAGGCGTTTTGGTAGTGAAAGGTTTGCTTGTTGTTAGCATCTTAGTAGTTGTAGGTTCATTTGTTGTAGGATTTGTAGTGGTAGGTTGAATTGTTGTTTGCATCGTAGTGGTTGTAGGTTCATTTGTTGTAGGATTTGTAGTGGTGGGTTGAATTGTAGGCGTATTGGTAGTGATAGGTTTGCTTGATGTTGGCATCTTAGTAGTTGTGGGTTCATTTGTTGTAGGATTTGTATTGGTAGGTTGAATTGTTGTTGGCATCTTAGTGGTTGTAGGTTCATTTGTTGTAGGATTTGTATTGGTAGGTTGAATTGTAGGCGTTTTGGTAGTGAAAGGTTTGCTTGTTGTTGGCATCTTAGTAGTTGTAGGCTCATTTGTTGTAGGATTTGTATTGGTAGGTTTGCTTGTTGTTGGCATCTTAGTAGTTGTAGGTTCATTTGTTGTAGGATTTGTATTGGTAGGTTGAATTGTTGTTGGCATCTCAGTAGTTGTAGGTTCATTTGTTGTAGGATTTGTATTGGTAGGTTGAATTGTAGGCGTTTTAGTAGTGATAGGTTTGCTTGATGTTGGCATCTTAGTAGTTGTGGGTTCATTTGTTGTAGGATTTGTATTGGTAGGTTCATTTGTTGTAGGATTTGTAGTGGTGGGTTGAATTGTAGGCGTATAGGTAGTGATAGGTTTGCTTGATGTTGGCATCTTAGTAGTTGTGGGTTCATTTGTAGTAATCTCTGTGGTCGTAGGTTGGTCTGTGGTAGGCGTATTGGTAGTGATAGGTTTGCTTGATGTTGGCATCTTAGTAGTTGTGGGTTCATTTGTTGTAGGATTTGTATTGGTAGGTTGAATTGTTGTTGGCATCTTAGTAGTTGTAGGTTCATTTGTTGTAGGATTTGTATTGGTAGGTTGAATTGTTGTTGGCATCTCAGTAGTTGTAGGTTCATTTGTTGTAGGATTTGTATTGGTAGGTTGAATTGTAGGCGTTTTAGTAGTGATAGGTTTGCTTGATGTTGGCATCTTAGTAGTTGTGGGTTCATTTGTTGTAGGATTTGTATTGGTAGGTTCATTTGTTGTAGGATTTGTAGTGGTGGGTTGAATTGTAGGCGTATAGGTAGTGATAGGTTTGCTTGATGTTGGCATCTTAGTAGTTGTGGGTTCATTTGTTGTAGGATTTGTATTGGTAGGTTGAATTGTTGTTGGCATCTTAGTAGTTGTAGGTTCATTTGTTTTAGGATTTGTATTGGTAGGTTGAATTGTAGGCGTTTTGGTAGTGAAAGGTTTGCTTGTTGTTGGCATCTTATTAGTTGTAGGTTCATTTGTTGTAGGATTTTTAGTGGTAGGTTGAATTGTTGTTTGCATCGTAGTGGTTGTAGGTTCATTTGTTGTAGGATTTGTAGTAGTGGGTTGAATTGTAGGCGTATTGGTAGTGATAGGTTTGCTTGATGTTGGCATCTTAGTAGTTGTGGGTTCATTTGTTGTAGGATTTGTATTGGTAGGTTGAATTGTTGTTGGCATCTTAGTAGTTGTAGGTTCATTTGTTGTAGGATTTGTATTGGTAGGTTGAATTGTAGGCGTTTTGGTAGTGAAAGGTTTGCTTGATGTTGGCATCTTAGTAGTTGTGGGTTCATTTGTTGTAGGATTTGTAGTGGTAGGTTGAATTGTTGTTGGCATCTTAGTAGTTGTAGGTTCATTTGTTGTAGGATTTGTATTGGTAGGTTGAATTGTAGGCGTTTTGGTAGTGAAAGGTTTGCTTGTTGTTGGCATCTTAGTAGTTGTGGGTTCATTTGTTGTAGGATTTGTATTGGTATGTTGAATTGTTGTTGGCATCTTAGTAGTTGTAGGTTCATTTGTTTTAGGATTTGTATTGGTAGGTTGAATTGTAGGCGTTTTGGTAGTGAAAGGTTTGCTTGATGTTGGCATCTTAGTAGTTGTAGGTTCATTTGTTGTAGGATTTGTAGTGGTAGGTTGAATTGTTGTTTGCATCGTAGTGGTTGTAGGTTTATTTGTTGTAGGATTTATAGTGGTGGGTTGAATTGTAGGCGTATCGGTAGTGATATGTTTGCTTGTTGTCGGAATCTTAGTGGTTGTGGGTTCATTTGTTGTAGGATTTGTAGTGGTAGGTTGAATTGTTGTTGGAATCTTAGTAGTTGTAGGTTCATTTGTTGTAGGATTTGTAGTGGTAGGTTTGCTTGTTGTTGGCATCTTAGTGGTTGTAGGTTCATTTGTTGTAGGATTTGAATTGGTAGGTTGAATTGTAGGCGTATCGGTAGTGAAGGGTGTGCTTGATGTTGGCACCGTGGTGGTTGGAGGTTCATTTGTTTTAGCTATTGTAGTGGTAGGTCGAATTGTTGTTCCTGTATCTGTGGTTGTAGCTACGGTGGTTGTTTGCATGTCATTGGTAATATAATGACCAGTTGTTTGCACATATGCGGTTGTTGGCTCATTTGTCGTTAGATTTTCTTCGGTTGTAGACTCGTTTGTCGTTAAAGTTTCTTCGGTTGTAGATTCGCTTGTCGTTGGAGATTCTGTGGTTGTAGTTTTCCTCATAGTTGGATTGTTTGTGGTTGTAGATGATAACGTTGTAGGAATATCCGTTGCTATATTCGTTGTAGGCATGCGTGTTGGTTCTAAGCGGGTAGACAATTTATTTGACGTTGTATAATCAGATGTCGCTGGACGTTCAGTCGTTGAAAACGTTGTCGATGAAGACACCACTGACATCGTAGTCGCCATCGTAGAGGATGTCGATCTTCTTAGCGTTGACGTAGTGGTAGTAGTTTCAGTTCTATGGATTGCCGAACCTCCTAGCGATAAAGATGAATCATAGAATATAGATATGCGAATTTAATAAGTTTAATAATATATTGTTATCTTTTGTCCATTTTTTTTCTTGGTTCGCTTTCGGTTATGCTCTATACTCTTAAAAAGAAACAAAACGGACAGGGTAAGATACGCCGTATTTCATAACATACACATACAAACACACGCATGTGCTTAGAGAGAGAGAGAGAGAAAGAGAGAGAGAGAGAGAGAGAGAGAAGCTTACTGATTGTTTTCTTGGGGTAGTGTGAAAAGTATACTATTGAACATTTTCAGGCTTTGAAATGACACCCATCCAAAAGGAGGGGGAGGGTGTGCATTAAGATAATCGTAATTATCATAGGAAATTTCCAAAGTTAGATATGCAAAGTTGTGTAATTTTTTTAAATTGTCACCCCTTGAACGTCTACGAAACGCAACCGGCCGCCCCCCCCCCAAAAAAAAGTAGATAAAGAAGGATATAAGCAAATACGAAGAGATACAGAAAGCAAGAAGAACGAACAGGGACAATACAAGCAATACTTACGCCTGGTGCAGACATTCCTTCTCAATTTCTCATCGACAATACGGTCCCCGATGCTTGGACACATCGTGGGTTTGCAGGTTTGTAAAAGGCATTCTAAAAGAAAAATATAACTGCACCAATTTAGTCTTACACACCCACTCCCAGTCACGCACATCCGCTGAACATATATTTAAATTCAGGCGGGGTTTAGTGGGGGGGGGGGGGGGGGGGGTTGGGCGCCACAACCATCCCCTGTCAACTCTTTGAAATTCTATTTGTATAATCAAAGTACGTCTAAGAAAATTGTACCCATAAATGATATTATTATTATTTTTTATTATTGTTATTATTATTATTATTATTATTATTATTATTATTATTATTATTATTATTATTATTATTATTATTATTATTATCGTCATCAATATAATTTATATTATTATTTTTATAATTGTAATTTCCCCCTCCTTTTGAAAATGCACCCGAAAATCTGATACTTATTTAAATTTATACATTTTTTTCGAAATACGATTTCTGTGTCATCACCGAAATATTTTAACCCTTTGTAAATCTTTATATATGTTACATTTTTGTTCTGTTAAGAGAAGTCTCTCCCTCCCCTTTTCACACAATCCTGGACCCGCTCCTGTTTACATACTGATCTGATGTTCAAATACCTGATAAAAAATGATTGGTTCCTGTGTGGTTCTTGTAAGACAAAGACCCCGTAATACCGTCAAATGGTAAGACTGTACGCAAAGAAAAACAAAACAAATTAACAACCAAAACGAACAGAAATGTAAATGGTTTTCGATAATTAATCAAACAATGAGTTTTAAATTATTTCATTTAGTTCATTTAGGATCTACCGCCGGAATGAACTGGTTAAGTTGATATCCTTGTAATTGTTCTATCCTGTCATCATTATTGTCATATATCATTGAGGAAAATTTAGTTAAATCGATTATATATGGGGACAAGTATCCCATTTTCAGACAATTAATTAATGAAAACAATTTCTTCTTCAAAAGATCACATCAACGGGGAAAATGATAATTACATCTAATTTGTTTCTCCATTAAAGTGGGATCGTATACAGGTTTTGTTTTGGTTAGCTAGAATTCTTGTTCTTGCTATTATGTGTCAAAGTTGTATCGTTGTCAATTCCATCAATAATTGCTTTAATTGGTTTTGTCGATACTATTTTCGTCCTTTTTATACTATATATAGTTTCTCACTATAAAAGTGATCAACACAATTACATCAAGATAAATAACTTAATATCGTTATTATCATCTAATCGGTGACAATTTCATTGACAATTTCATTGTAAGTGATTATTTGGCATATTGAAATGGCCAAATATTTCTAGCTTACCACTTGAATTTGCGCTTGTGGAATTATTACTTACAAAATGTCAAGAGAAACAAACGGATGGAGAGCATGATGATATCTTTCGGAGATACCTGAATAAAAAAACAAAACCAGTGATCGGGAATGTAGTAATGTATAGCTTTCAATTAAATTCAATTCAATACCTGATAATACTAAACAATGATAAGATTATAGTTAAGTTTTCAGGCGGGAAGTGAACCTATAATATCTGAGGGACACGGTGATTGGGGAAAAATGTCTTACGGGGTGACTAGTGTATCAACTTGTCTCGAACCCAGGACCTACCGAATACGAGGCCAATACTTTACCACGAAGCTGCCCTGTATTAATTATTTAGTGTCGTACAATATATAATACAAGGCACTGTTTTTTTTTACAACTATGACCAAATAGCTAAATGGCCCTTTGAGAGCCTGAAACTTTACAAAGATAAAGAATTAGAAATCAGTTACAAATTTTTCTTGTAGCATGGACCTAGGTTAACCTCCCATAGCTTAACGAAAAAATATCAACGTTGCTTTATGCGCATGAGGTATCCCTGAACAGCAAATTGTTTACGGAATTTCGTAACAAAATTGACATGCCATTTTGGTCGGAGCTGAAAAAAATATATAGCCACAGACAATATGTTTTTTTTTCTATTGATGATTGATAAGCATGAGTGGATCTTAAAGAAACTTAACAGTAATCTGAATCAACTCCCCTATTTTGATGGAACAGTGCAATTGAAAATGGCGTTTCGGACGTTACATTTTCCGTAAACAATGTAGACCCTAGTTTAACCCATTAGAACAACAAATTAATGAGATTATATATGGTTTGAATGAGTTTATTAGTTGCTCCAAGTGATTATATTAAAAGAAAATATAATTTCATTATATTAGCGCTTATATTAGAAATAAACTCAAAATTTGAAAAAGTCGTCTCATTTTCCGTAAACAATTTTGTAACGTCCGAAACAATTTTCAATTTGAAGTAGCAGAAAATATATGAACAGCAGGACATATCTATCATTACATTTTGTTAACATCTCATGGCAGCTACCCACCAAAACAAAGAAATTTGCAATACATTCCTACAATACTATTTTATAGTTAAAACCAATTTTCCGTTCACAGTTGTAACGTCCGAAACAAAAAAATACCAATAAAATGATGATAATCCATATTTTAGGGTATCTAGAGTGAATAAATCATCATGAAATAAGTTATTATATGTCTTAACACAAGTCAAAACACAAATCAGGTCTTTCAAATCCATTAATTTTTGTAAGCACAAGAATGGTGTTTTGGACGTTACACAATTTTATTGTTAACACAAAGTCGACAAATTTCAAATAATTTTCGATCATATCTGCAAGTTAACATTTCACAATGGACACTCCTGTTAAAAACACTATTTTGATGATTTTATTTCGATTTAAATATACAAATTCTGAAATATGATGCCAAAAATCAAATAATCTATAAAATATCTAAATTTTCTGCAAAATTGATTTATAAAACATAAAATATTGAAGCCACACTTTGTGATTCAAGGCATGGCTGGCTTCTTCAGTATATCCTTAATTGTAATTTATCAGAAAAAAATCTCAACAAAAGTGACTCATAAAAAATCTTCAGCCACTTTAACTGCACTTTCTGGTATGACGTTTCGGACGTTACATTAAACTGTTAACAGACATTTTCAAACTTTAACTAGTTCAAATAAGGGGCAAAGATAGATGTGAAAATAGCAAATTTCAATTGTTCAACTTCTCCTTTTGCTATTTACATTGGTGTGTCTTTGCAAATCATGAGGTTTTCATTTTTATAGAGGTTGTTCCACATGATGTCATATAAACCAAAGATTGTACGGTCAATTTACACTATTTGGTAGGTTACAAAACTCAAAATCACCCACTTAAGCAATACCCAGTGTACATGGTCATGACATGGATATGATACAGGTACACTGTATATGAAGTTGATAAAATCAAGCAAATTAAAATGTTTTTCTAAAAGTTTATGGGAAATATAATATGTATTTTCATCCAAAAATACATTTAAAAAGGGCACTCAGTACATGTAACTGATCTGTGTAGAAAGGATTACTACTGCCATTATCCAACACTGGAATTGGCATTTACGCTTAATAATGATAACAATTTATCAAGCAATTTTATGAAATTGGCTTGCACACTACATGACACACTCATTGGTTGCATACATGTACAATTGACGAGCACAAAGGCTTCCATTATAAAACACTAATCAGTAATCAGTATCCGATTAACATTATAGAAACTTGTACAACATAATGTTCACAAGGCTGTAGATCTGCCACATTTCCAAATGACAAGAAAATGGATTACCAATTTGTGGGGTAAAGCATGAACATGAAAATGAGGTGTAACCTCTTCAAAATTAATTAATTCATAATTTTTCCTTTCATTTGATGAATTACCCTCAAATGTACTAGTCTTATGTACAAATATTTTTCAAATGCTTGACCCTCCTAACAAAATGTACATGTTAATGATCATTTCATGATTCTAAACATAAAGTATCTTCCTCAAATTTATGCAAAAATCTCGTGATGTACAATGATTTAGGATTCCCATATTTCTTATTATATTATATATATTATATATATTCTTATGTTTTGCTTACAATGTACATACTGTACTTGTATGTGATAGTGATATTATTGAATGACACACTACATGAATCTAGTTTAAGGCAAAGTACAAAGCAAGCCGATTAAACATCTATGTTGTAAAGTTTGTAGAAATTGATGATCTGATTGAAATGTTCACATCGTGTAACATCCGAAACAAACTATAGCATATATTGTACACTGTTGTTCATAACCTGCAAAAGAGAGTATGTTTGCAAGTGAATGTTTTAGGAGTTGTGATGACTACAATTGCTATTAGCTTCATATTTCACTTTGTTAGATCACATAAGCATTTTTAACTACCGGTACACGTTCCTGAAATGAACAGTATACCTTACATAAATTGAGTAGTCAATGAAGACAAACTAGGTATATGTGCAAAACTGATTAAAACAGCAATTTGTTTAAATAAATGTTCAAGAAATATATTTCTGCAAACAATTAATGTGACTTAGGTCAATAATACCTAAAGAAAAGCAATTAACTTGAATAAAGTTATGATGTTAACAGTGTGTAACGTCCGAAACACCAGTGGTGTGACATATGAAAATTATTAGGCAATGCACTGGTTCTCCAATTTTTTTGGATTTATTTAACTTATATCATCAGTTGTTATAATAAAATAAGTTTGACCCAAGAAAAAAGCATTTTACCTATTGAAATAAAAACTTTTTATTGTCAAAACCCTAATTTGGAGCTATTTTTTACTTTCAAGGGACACAAAATCTATATTTTTACGAGATAGAAACTCAAAAATTTGCATGAATAATCTCTGAAACATATTCTTAAAGACCAACATATTTGTTGGTGAAGTTAATAGCAAATGAGTTTTATATCACAGTTATTAGATATGCTATAGTTCACAATCAAATTGTAAAAACTCAAATTATTCATATCTGGTGAATAAATAAGGAGATAGATTTAAGGTCCAAAATTTGCATTTCTCAAAAATATGAATAGTCCTGATCCTAAGAACACATTTTTGAAGTGAGTAAACATAATTTCATTTCGGACCCTATTGCGGACACATTTGGTATATGTTAAAAAAACCAGTGCAACAAAGTACAGTATCTTCTGAAGTCATCCTTAATTCATCATAACATCCTCTAAAGCACGATTATGAATTGACCGTCGTTGTTCAATTGTAGGAACTGAATAAAGAGAGGATTGAGGCACTATTACAATGCATGAGGTCTAACCGAAAACGGTATGGGTGGAGGTGGACTACGGTAGGGTGTTGATACTGCCTTGTCGTAAACGGGTAAGCCTATATCTTTGAGCGAAAGGAGTATGAAATCATCTCCCGTATATTTCTGTCAAAATTACTATTAGTGTATGCAGAATGTGATATAAATGTACTCTAATTAATTCTAAACAAAGGGGGAAAATTACACGACATGGGCTTAAAATACATTACCTTTTTCACATTACCTACAACTAGCCACTAATCCTGTCTTTCCTAGATGAATTATGGGCGGCGTTATCATCAATTTTTCAGTCTTATCAGCGCCTTTGATTAGGCAACTAAATACAGGTGCTCTCTAAATGATTTCAGGATTGGATTTGAGAATTAAGCCTAGGTGTAAATTGACACTAATGATGAAGAATCAAAATATCGTATAATTAATTAAAAAGAAGATAACAGTCAAGGATTTTATAAAGATAGTATAAAAGAGTATACTCACCATTATTGTCTTCATGGTTAAAGTTTCTCCACGCGCGATCCACTTACTTGATTGATTGTCGCTTTTATTTAACTCCGAAATAAGGTCGAATTATAATCACAATCTGAAACCTTTTACCGCATCTCAGCTATCTCTCAATAAAGGTAAACTCTTTTCTTGCTTACAAAAACAGTACCTCATTAATCAGGGGCTCTTCTACAAGGGATGGGATGGGGGGGGGGGCAGTATTGTCGGATATAGTCTTTTAATATTAAAATAACGGAAAAGAAAAAAGTGCTAGAGATAAAATAACCCTCCAGACTGATTTCTTTTGTTTCTAATAACATATTGATCAAATATCTTACGGTAGAAAGCCTTAGAGATGACCGAAATAAAGGACACTTTTAAACAGGCTTAGAAACATATCATCCACAATACAAAGGGAAAAGAAAAATCTTTAGAAAGCCAAAGAGTTCGTGAATCAGATTATTCCACTCCAATCAAACGTATTTATGTCGAGAGTGTTTAAAACAGGAAAATGGTATGGAGTAGGCCACAAAGAGGTTAAAAGTAATCAAGAAAAAGAGCACTAAACGTCAAAAGGCCTTTGATATGAGAAAAGAAAGCATATGAAAGAGAGACGGTGAGGAAAAAGGGGGAAGGGCTAGAGGGGAGACACTGAGAAAAATAGTGAGGACGAGAGGGGGGGGGGGAGAAATAGAACGATTGAAAAGGGCCTCTGACCTGCGAAGCCAATTAATGGAAACAACGGAAATGGAGAGAAACCAATTTAAATTTCTAGTATTGTGATGTAAGGACAAAATATATGAACAACTCGAGCAAACAAATAATCGTGGATATCTATTTTATTATCATATCACGATGACATGGATTTATGCCCAAGAAAACACAGACAATTGAAATCATAATTTAAGACTATGTCTCGTATGATGTTTGATCATAGTTGTAATCATCTATATACTTAAACCTTCCACATCCAATTCCGTCAAACCTATTAATAAAAAATATAATTTCAATAAACATAAATAAGCAATTAAATTTTGATATACAGGTGTATATACATATTTAAAATAGGATTAATATAGCGAGTATCCTTTTGGCTGAAACGGTGTCACGTGACACTCAACATTTTGGTATACATGTATGTATATTTGTACATTATAGTTTTAGTGTTATCAGTCTTGAAATTGAAAATTTTTTGCCAAAGTGTGTCACCCGCCAAAGATGGGTGATATAGTCTATACATTGAAAACAAGGTGAACACACGATCGCAAAGACATTCGAAAAATTTGCCGAAGAAATTGCAAAGGCCTTGTCAATCATATATTGATATGTGTTTACATACCAACAATGTATTTGGTTATCCAAACATTATTTTAATGCAAGGAGCAATATGGTATTGAAATTGCACAAGAGTTAAATTTTTAACATTTTTTATAATCGTGTTATACCTGAATATGTACATAGATATAACAATAATCACACATAAAAAGCTTTAATATATCATATTGTATTTTTTTTTACACGAAGGAAATTTCGAATTAAAATGATATAAGAAATGCAATCTATCATTACAATGATACTAATTATTTTTAAGAATAATTTATTTAACGAAGCAATCCTAAACCTAGCAAGCCCAAATCTCACTGGAATATTCTATATAGACAATTAATTCACAAGAAGAATGTCACCCTTTACCTCCCATGCAACAGATTTATCCCTTAAATGTACATTAAGTCCCATTTGCAGGCCAAACAAATGAAAAGGTTAAATTCCAAGGGCATTTGAAAGATAATACTAATAAAGAACTTCTCTTTAAAAAAAAAAAAGGGGGGGGACTTTAAAATGTCTTTAAGTGGGAAAATAACGACTATTAGTTGTCGAATCGACTTCAGTGCTACCAAGTCAGTAAGCAATAGTCTGATTTTCAGACCATTATACCGAATGGTCGTACATTTTATGCTGCGCAAAGATTCAATCAGTTTAATTTTGGCCATTACAAGAAGTGGGTTTTTGATATAGACATATGCTACAGCTCATGTTATGCACTTTATTACCAAAGAAGAAAAAAGCCAGTCAGTCACTCAATAGTGTATGACAGTTAAGTCTAGCAAGTAAACGTGTTTCCTTGCATAATTTGAATATTAGGACACTGCTATAAACGCTAAATTTTCACAGATAGGACATACATGACATATTCATAATTCCTGCAAAGTTCTACACAATTTGATGTTGGCTACAAAAGGGACATAGTATCTTTAAAAAGGGACAAGGAGAACAAGTGACAACTCCTTTTTTTTTTTTTTTGTTGCTTATAAGAGCAATCAAGCACAGCAAAAGGCCCCGGGTCCTTTTATTGTTAATCTCTTAAGAACGGCTTTATTATATAATATTGTTCGGTTAAGGGTTGGAGCTTGGTGCTACAAAATGACGAAAATGATCCCAGATAAGAGCAAAGTTGCTAGAGTATATTTCGTATAATCGCTATAAATTATCACTAGTCTTGTAAAGTATGTTTAACTGGTTGAACCTCATGATTTCCCCTATTTGTTGTTGCCGTAAGGGATTTTTTTTCTCTTCAATTTCTTGTATCCCCGGGCCAGAAAATTCTCAATTTTCCACTGCTTTTGGTTTGGTTCTTAGTTTCTCCTTTGTTTTTTACTTAGTCCCCCAATCGGTTGACCTGGCAACCAATTTGTTTGCAAAATCATGCACAAACGCTTCCACTGATTCAAGAGATAATTGCACATTTCACCTTTGCTGCATTGTCAATTCCTTGAGAAGAGAAGTTAACCCGTTGACTACTGAAATGTATAAGTCCCATAGGCTTAATACAGAGACCACCAGGTTCCAGTAAGCAATGGGTTAACAAAAATCAATTACCCTGAAGTCAGAACTAGACTGACGTTCATCCCCTTGACCATGATATCTGAAATATTTACACATCTGTTACCACGACAAAATATCTTAGATCACTATTTGACAGACGGTGGTGTAGAGACTGTCGCATGCCTTGTCTTCCCATTTGTCATCGTCGGTGTCCACAATGACGCATTGCTGCGATGATCCTCCATTCGGTTGATCTGAAAGCCAATCTGTTAAAAAAAATCAAGAACAAGCACACGAATGATAAAACTGGGTTATTCGTTTCACTCTACAGCAAATATATTAATGGCTAGTTTGGCTACCCAATGTTCAAATAGAACTGAACGATTAAAAGGATGAAATAGCCTTCAGCATTTTAAGGAGATGCCATTATGAAAAACCTTCCATTTAAATCATGCCAAGTTCTTTTCGCATTTTGGAATAACGTCGATTTCGTGAAAACCAATAATTAGAAACCGTTAGAGTATGTAATATGAGGAAATAAAATTTTACAGATAATAAAGTGTCTTCCTTTCTCGCTCGCTATGCCCGCAACCTTTAGACACATGATGATCTCTGGCAGCGAATTAAACCTCCATATTTGAGCCACACAATGCCCGAATAACCCTCTATTTGACAGTGTGGTGCCCAAATATATATTATACCTTTTATATCGAAATAACATTTTACCGTCTTGTACCGTCTTCGGTCTTGTGGGTCTTTGGTCTCTTAGACATATATATCATAATTTTTGAAGAAACCGAGACCGGTTAGATAAAGAAACCCTTATTCTGTACCTTTCCCGTGCCATTTGTTTTTTCAATAAATCAATTATATTTGTTACAAGGTACATCGGTATACCAAAAAATTCTTCATGCGGTTGTGTATTTTACACGACCGCGTGTGAGATCCGCGGTGCCATCAGAACGGGGTCACGCCGCTTGAAGGTCACTCTAAGGAGAGATTGGACTTAGCTTTTCTACTTACTTGTTACATTTGTAAGGGTACCTTCTCCGTCTGAAAAACACTGAAAGTCATCATCGGTCTGACGATCGTTGCAGTTGACCCAGACATCCTCGCTGTTTGAAATTCCCAACAACGTTTCGACCTCGATAATCTCGGCATCGGAGCCAACGAACAGCACTGACGAGTTACCCGTGATGGTGGCATTCACCGTCGCAGGGCTAAGGCTGCTGCAGTAGGTTACGGCATCGTCAAAGATTTGTTTCCAGAGGTACAAGTGGAAGCACTTGGTTTGAGAGCATTTCCATTCTGAGGTGAAATTGACAAATATTTAAAAACGTTAAATATCATAGTAGTCTGTAGCAGGCGCGTACGCAGGATTTTTTCAAGGGGGGGGGGGGGGGGGTTTTAACATTTATAAATCGGTCCGAAAATTTCGCAACGACTCAGCCAGCCGCTGAATAAGCGGGGGGGGGGGGGGGTAAGAGGACACATTTTTTTTTTTTTTTGGTCCCAAAAAAATCGCAACGACTCAGCCGACCGCTGAATAAGCGGGGGGGGGGGGGGGGGGGGGGGGGGGTAAGAGGACACTTTTTTTTTTTTTTTTGGTCTCGAAATTTGGAAATTTGACATTTTGCTCCGTTGGGGGGGGGTAAGGTCACCTTTTTTAGGTCGGCCATGGGAATATTTTTTTTTTTTTTTTTTTTTTAATAATTAAAAAAAAAAAAAAATAAAAATAAAAAAAAATCCAAAAGGGGGGGGGGGGGGGGGGGGGGGGGGGGGGGGGGGGGGGGGGGGTTTTAGGTTTTTTTTAGGGGGGTTTACACACAAAAAATTTCCAAAGGGGGGGGGTTTAACCCCCCAAACCCCCCCCCCCCTGCGTACGCGCCTGGTCTGTAGGCACAAACTACATTTGACACTTCAACAGAATTTCATACAGTCTAGAGCCTAGCTAAAGTCTGTCGGCCAATGTCTGTATCAATCAGCTTAAGTACAAGCTCTATGGAGTGCAGTAGATTATGTATCCTACGTAGTCTCACGGTCCAGACATTCTGTTATTTTGACTGAAAAGGTTTGTCGAGTACTTTTTCAACCTTATCTTTCTTCAAATTTTAATGCAATTATAATAAGATCAATAATATTATTAATAATAATAATAACAATTCTACTATTAATAATAAAATTCTGAAGGTGTATAGCGCTTAATACGAAATACTGTCTGTAATCGCTTACATATATTAAAGTAACTCAGTAACATTGTTGAAGGTTGATGAAAAAATTGCGTAATTTTTGTATGAAATGTTACTTATTATCTTCTTTTTTATACTGTACTAACCCTCTAGCATGCAAAAAATCCTGAAATTTCTCAAACCAAAAAGATATTTATGGTTTTCTTTGAGGGCGTCACTGGTCAACACTCTCTAACAGTAAAATTCTCCCAACCATTTTAAAATTTTCCCAACCGTTTTCCATGAAAATAAAGACAGGCTTTAAAGAATCTTTCAGCACTCTAATGTCCGGATAGTATAAAGAGCCAGTCCAATAGCTTTGTGACGATTAACATTCACCTTAAAATGTAATTTGAATTGTAATAATATATTTAGGCGAATTAAGGAATCGATCAGATCAATTTTTCCCCAATTGTTATCATTAATAATGGTCTGTTTTCACTCAAACTTTCAGATTATCTATAATTGTACATCTAACATTGAAGTTTTCAATCCATTTTCAATCCACAAAATGTTTGATCAAATTCATGTCATCTCTTGTTGTTTTGCTATTGCAATGGTATCGCTTTCGATGATATAGGCATATGTGAACGTTCAATGAATTAGTAATAAAAGTGGCAGCATGCCATGTACTAGGCCTGGAGATATTTTAACCAATGGATACGATAGATAGATGACTCCTTATATTCACACATTATGTGCACCACCTCCAGTGTTGCCCTCATTACTCCATTAATGATAATATATATATATATATATATATATATATATATATATATATATATATATATATATATAAATGAAATTTTTAAACTCATATTAAAAGATCAAGAATGTGTGAAGGCTACTTAAGTTTACCTACAATTTACATCAAAAGATTTTAAACATGCGGACCAAGATTGTCAAAAAATGGAGGGGATGGATGCATGCAATGGTCCTAATGTCCCGATCACTCTCTCAGATCTCAGTCTAAAACAAAACACCTTTTTCTCAAGAAGAGTGCGTGTGCGTGCGTGTGTGTATGGGTGTGTGTGTGTGTGTGTGGGTGCGTGCGTGTAGGGAGTGCGTCTGTTTCGTAGCCAGCCGCTGAATAAGCGGGAGGGGGGGGGGGGGTTAAGAGGACCCTTTTTTTTAAACATTTGACATTTTGCTCCGTTGGGGGGGGGGGTAGGGTCGCCTTTTTTAGGTCAGCCATTGGAATAATTTTTATTTTTTATTTATTTTTTTATTATTAAAAAAACAACAAAAAACAAAAAAACAAAAAACAAAGGGGGGGGGGGGGGGTTTAACCCCCCAAACACCCCCCCCCCTGCGTACGCGCCTGTGTATATATATATATATATATATATATATATATACAAGAATAATTTTTCCTTACCGACAGCCTGCTCACAAAGGTCTCCGATCCAGCCATGGTTACAAGCACACGTGAAATCCCCGATGCCATCTACACACGTCCCATTTACACACGGGTTGCCTGTGGCGCATTCGTCTATGTCTTCAACAGGAACCCTATGTCGAAAGAAATAATTAATAATTTACCATCACACTTAATCACGCAAAACACTCTTTGATTAAAATCAATTAGCTATATTTTGTTACCATTCTTGATGTTCGTGTAAACCTGCTCATGCGTAACATATCCAAAGTGACCCATCCAATGAAAATTTTGTTTTCTTAGAAGATCCCTCAATGTTACCTCTTTTTTTTGTAGTGCAGTGATACTAGTCGTATGTATGTTTTTTACACTGAAGTTTGCAATTTGCCAACATCTTTTTGTTATATATTTATGTAAACATTTTGTGATAAAATTTAATTCTATGTTTTACGAAGTGACAAAAATTGTATTATGTGTTAAAATCACAAAAAATCTTATTCTAGAAAAGTACATTGTTCATAGCTTTAATGCGCCGTTCTATCACCCAGCAACATCAATCTGCAGAACAGTACAATGAAATATATTTAAACCGACACACATAATGCACACACATCGACATAAACTATTATGAATATAAGATTGTACATTTGAGCCTTGTTGATATAGTATATATTTGAGAATAAGTCATTTGTTTATTACTGGTTTAAATGATCTAGCTGTCATCATAATCATTTTCAAGGCCTCATTGCTTTATTTTGTCTTCAAATTTGTTTTTTCGTCTCCTTAAACAGTTCTCTCAACACCAACCCCCCTCTCTCTCTCTCTCTCTCTCTCTCTCTCTCCTTCTTCCCAATACCTCTTTTTTTAACACTTTCATCTCTCATCACTTCTCTCTACTACCATTCTAATAATATCTCTCTGTTTGGTTAAACCGAATAATTTTAAACCTACCTGTATATCTGGCACACAGTGTTATATGTTTCTTCGCATCCTTTGTCCTTCCATTTATTGTCATTCGTTTTTACGATAACACAGTTCTGACCGCCATCATCGTCTGGTTGGTCATATCTCCAATCTGTTAGTACAAAGATAATTACAATAAATGACATCCCATAGACAGCCTTTAGAGATGATTGTGGAATGGTAATGTGTATCAATTATTTTTGGCATATTGTTGGAATGATTATGTGCTCTTTTTTGCATTTATTCAATAGACATTAATCTGATAAAAGGAGACATGATGAAGAACGCACATGCTCATCAATGACGACACAACCTGTGAAATAGCCATCAAACTGAAACGCCTTTCCGAAAGAAATTTCAATATAAAATCTAACAAAAGTAAGTGCTTATTTAGTAATCCAATGCGTTTCATTCCAAATTATATCTACATCTTGTATTCATTGCACCCAACAAGTTTGGTTGATAGCTGTGCATCTTGTAATCAAAGTACGCCATTAAATTTGTTTTCGGGTTCCATACCTGACCCTCGATTAAAGTCACTTGAAGGCGGAAAAATAGCTAATCTGACATTTGCTAGAGACAAAGTCAGATTGAGAAAGGTTTGGAGAAGAACTCAGGCTCCTCCTCCCCAGGACCAAAGGGTAGATGAGGAAGTCGAGGAGGAAGAGGAGGGGGAGGAGGAGGAAGGGGAGAAGGCCGGACAGGAGAAGGAGAATAAAAAAGGAAGAGGGTGAGAAGGTGAAGGAGGAGGGGAGGAAGATAATGAGGACGAGTGGGATGAGGTAGTGGAGGGGAGGTTGAGGATGAAGGTGGTCATGGTGATGATGATGATAACGATGATTATGATATTAAACCTTAGTAAAAGAAAGGAAAACTTTTATTCGTCAAATGAAATACCCAGTTTCCATCTAAAATTAGTCGGGAGGACCTACGTGTTATATTCGTCAATGTCCCTTTATCATCAGCCGTGCAGACAAAATCCGCATCAGAGTCCTCACTAACGCAGTTCACCCATACTTCACGAGTTGACGAGAAAAAATCAAATAGATCCTCCACTTCATTAATGGCTGCGTCCGAACCAACAAAGAGAACAGAGGCATTTCTGTTTCCGCTTACGATGGTCTGGTTTAGAGTAACAGGATTGAGACTGTCGCAGTAGATGACGGCATCATAGAAGCCGAGTTCTTCAGTTGAGACGTGGAAACACCTTGTGTCTGTGCATTTCCATTCTGGAAGAAAAACATGTTCAGAAAAAAAATGCTACAACGTGTCCTCATTTAGAGAGGTATTATGTTATACTGGATGTGTCACTGGACGGATCCCAATGTGTAAGGGGTTCAAATTCCTTCCCAAGAACTACAGTCAAAAGAACGATTTATCCCTTTTTATCCAGGCAAGGTAAGAGACCATCTGTAAGAATCTATTTCGATGAACTTGTGACATATAAGGGACATGAGATTAAGACCATGCGTCAATGAATAGGAATTTAGATCTAATTGACTCTATGATAAACAGGACTATACATGTAAAAGGGATTTTATTTCTTGCTGAACTATTAAAACTAATGCTCTCTGTAGATTTATTCTAAAATATTTACTTTAGAAACAGCAAATGATTAGAATCAAGACTTGATTTGGGTTATAGATAAGATGAGCTCTGATGACATGGAATAATGCCAAATATACATGTATGAAGAGCGATGTGCAATGGTATATGGGCCTCTTTCTAGGATTGGTCTAAGATTTAGGCCACTAAAACGTGCAAGCACCACAGGCAGACGTATAGTGACCGGGAAACCTGTCAGCTTACCGACTTCGACTTGGCAGAAATGTCCACTCCACCCCTCGTCACAGGTGCATGTATACATCCCAAGACCATCGGTACAACTGCCATTTAGACAGGGGTTACTAGCGCACTCGTCTATATCAGCAACAGGTACTCTGTATGCAAAAGAGAGAAGAGAAACACAAAGGGGTTGAACGAGGAGGTAATGATATCAACGTGCAGGAGGGGAAGGAGGATGATGCAGATGATGATGACGGTCTTGAAGATTATCATACACATTCAGCCCCATTTTCTACGTTTATCGTCAGAATATCAACTTTAGATTTCTAACTTTTGCGAATAAGTGAAGGGAGGGAGCAAAATCACACAGTTGAACAGTTTAAACCGTAATTTCTTTATCAAAATATGCAAAGCATAGTATAGAAACTAAAAACTGGTGCACCTAGTCATTCTAGTTGCTCGACTTATGAGAAGATGTTTGCCCGAACTTTGGTGATTAAGAATTCACTCAAAAGCCGATTTCCTTTTGTGTTTTAAAAAGATACTATATTCAAAATGTAGATAAGATCACAAAATCACAGGTACCCAAATACATACAGCAAATATAAATGTCATGTAATTAAATACTCAATAATGTCGTATAACGGTGACGATACTGACGACATCCATGACAGTGATATTCAGGGTCATATAGTGACGATGAAAATGACGATGATGACATATAAATGGTGAAAATGATAATAACTGTAGTTGTAAGATGATGATGTCGTTGATAAGGACGACATGGAAAAGCGGAATTCAATTTGTTTCTAATGATAATGACTGTTGCATCTCTTTCAAACGTATGCCGGCCAAGTTGTATGCACAAAAGGCTAATAACATACCTGTATATCTGACAAACAGTGTTGTACGTATCGGAGCAACTTTTGTCCTGCCATTTATTGTCGTTTGTTACTACAGCCATACAGTCCTGATTTCCTCCGTTTGGCTGGTCATATCTGAAGTCTGATGAGTGAAAAGAAATTCAATTATAGCAAATCAGATGTGGAAGAAATTACTGTTAAACTTAATCTGTATCGATCCCTGCTCAACATCCCATCATACATCAATGGAAATTAAAATGAATTATATCACATATAGATTTAGAAAAGGAGATGACCTTTATGAAAAAGGGGAATCACAGATTTGGATCTATATTATACCAATATGAGAATAACATTGAAAGAGAAAAACAAAAATATATACAAAAACATACTATGTCTTGTGTGTGGTAAGTCTAGTGGGCTGTTTGATCTGGTGAACCCTCTGAATGACCACCTTCAAAAACTTCAGTAAACTCAAAATATCGGACTCTTGGACCGTCGACTGTATTCTTGGGCATATTCTTAACTTTATTGATATGTTCCAGCCACAAAACAGATCTATTGGTAGAGACTAGAGAGAGAGAGAAGAGAGAGAGAGAGAGAGAGAGAGAGAGAGAGAGAGAGAGAGAGTACTGAAGGAACGCTTACTTCTGATATCCGTCAGTGTTCCTTCGTCATCCATTGTGCAGACGAAATTAGAATCCGAGTCTTCATCGATGCAGTTCACCCATACATGACGAGATGACGAGAAGAAATCAAATAGATCCTCGACCTCGGTGATTTCTGCATCGGAACCAACAAAGAGTATGGACGCATTCCTCGTCCCGGTTACGATGGTCTGGTTTAGAGTAACAGGATTAAGACTGTCGCAGTAACCGACTGCATCGCTGAAAGTGTTTTCCTCAGTTAAAAGATGGAAACACTTGGTCGCTGTGCACTTCCATTCTGTAAAAAGAAAAACATTTAGTATAAATACAATCCGTTCTCATTTAGAATGTGTGTGGTTTAAATGCTAAAGCATGATTATCTGAAGATAAACTGATGTTAGATGTACTATGTCCCACTTGCAGGCCCAAAATATGAAAAGGTTAAATTCTACCGGCATTTGAAAGATAATACTAATTTAGAGCTTCCCTCAAAACAAAAGGGCTTCAAAATGTCTTTTTGTTGTAAAAAACAACTGTTATCGAATCGACTTTAGGGATTGAAATCCTTTTTGTAAATAGTCTGAATTTCAGACCCTTGTAGCGAAGGGTGTACGGTTTGTGCTGCGCAAAGATCTAATCAGTTTAATTTGTTAACCATACAAGAAGTGGGTTATTGATGTAGACAAATGTTCATGTACCCTTTACAGCTCTTTTTATGTATGTTATTACCAAATAAAAAATGAAGTCAGTCAGTCAGTCACTCAATAGTATCTGGCAGTGAAGTTTAGAAAGTAAACGGGTTTCCTTGCATAAATTTAATAGTAGGACACAGCTAACGTTTACATGTTACAGATTTAATTCCTGCAAAGTTTTACAGAATTAGATGTTGGCTGCTAATGGGACATAGTCATATACTGTAGTACCTTTACTAACACATTAAATAACGAGAGAAAAATAATCGTATGTAATATAAATCTCGAAAGAGGCATATAAAGGTATCGTTCAGTGACGTGGCTATGGCGAATGTGCCTATTCATAATGAAATAGAGAAAGAACATGGAAGAGAGAGAAAGAGAGAGAGAGAGAGAAAGAAAGAGAGAGAGAGAGAGAGAAAGAAAGAGAGAGAGAGAGGGAGAGGGAGAGAGAGCCTATAAAGAGGGGGTTGGGGGTTGGAGGGAGGGGACATAGGAAAGGGAGAGGGACAGGGAAAACAAAAAGAAGGCGCTATAAAGGACTCTTTCAAAACCTTTCCCCAATCAATGGCCTTGTCGATTAACAAAAGTGCCCCCAATTATGCCAGTGTGCTCTCAATGTAAGGACCCAGGCTACGCCACTAATATCGTCAGCACCAAATAATCAAGTTTATAGTTGTAACTGATTTTATTTCTGAATTAAGTAATTTGTATTTAATTTGTTTTGATTTGTACTACTTATGTTAGGAGAAATAAAACATTTCACACACACAAAACAATAGTTATTCGTCAAATCTAAAACTTACCGACTATGGTATCACAGATATCTCCTCCCCATCCTTCATCACATGTGCAAGTGAAAACGCCCAAACCATCGGTACATACGCCATTTTGACAGGGGTTAGTAGCACACTCGTTTATATCAGCAACCGGTACTCTGTATGCCAAAAAGGTAGAAAAGAACAAGTTAAAGATAATGAGCCTGTGTAGGTGGAGTCAATAAAGGGGGTAGAAATGTTGATATTTCAGTATAAAATGAATAGCCAATAACCTCTTCGTCCTAAACGAAACAAAGCAAACATAATCAGCTATCACACAAACGCACACCCATCCACACCCGGTCATATAAACCCACCCCATACGCACACGCAGACATTCAAGCACTTAAAACGAAAATCATTACAATCATGACCTTAAAGCTCCTCTGCACTAGTTAGGCATGGAGGGATTAGACCTCCCTGAAAGGTCACTGGCATGTGGTTATTATGTCATCAATCATCTCTCAATTAACATGAGAAAAAGGGCATCATGGGGGATCAACGGATACCGCTTAGGCATTGTTGGCTGTATAGAGAGCGCAATTACCTGAAAGTAGTGCAGTGGGGGCTTGAAAGAAGAAGGATGCAATATAAATTACTTGCTTCATTCAATGATATGAAGAAAAAAACAGCTCACTCCGCTTGCTGTATTCGTCACGTTAAATTTCTAATAATGAAGCGTAACTGTTTTACAAATGGCCCTTAGTGATGATGATGATGATACTAGTGATAACCGTTTAACTGTATCATTGCAACAAGCTGAGGATGACAACGATACACATCACAATGATGGAGACTTACGATGAACAGGGATCCAGCTCTTTCAAGTTCTTTCCGGCTCTCTCTCTCTCTTTCTCTCTCTCTCTCTATCTCTCTCTCCATACCTACATGTGCTCCTATCTAGTTTTTGATATAAGAAAATAATGAACATAATATAAACCTACCTGTATATCTGACAAACAGTGTTGTACGTTTCGGTGCAACTTTTATCCTCCCATTTATTGTGATCTGTTACTACGGCAACGCAGTCTTGACTGCCCCCACCGTTTGGTTGGCTAGATTCCCAGTCTAATGAGAAAGAAAATAACTTATTATGCAAAAAATGGATCAGGAATACAGCATTAGTTGATATCGGAATTAAAGAAAGTGATTAAATTAATGTGATCAACGGATTATTAGGAAGATGACGGTTAAGTTCATTTTAAAGAGAATGGTGACTTCTGCTAAAGATGATCAATTTTTTTTTTTTTAGTTTTCTTACTCTTTGTATATCACATTGGACAAATATCATCTTCAAAATGGCCTTATATTGGACAAATGACGGGAAATAGTTGAAAAGTTGGTACCAAACATTCATCCAATATAGGCCTACCCATTTGTTGCAGTGTAGCCGATTTGCAGGCAGACCGACTCATTATCCTCTACTCTTCTTCCTTTGTTATAAATAATCAACCACTCCCAACTTTGCGTCCAGGCAGTTGTTTTTACAAGACTATCGCGTTGCCAGTATCTGAGTTTATATTTAAGTCATTTTCTTGATAATAATTAAAGTTTGAGCATGAAATTTCCCCTGGCTGAATTGTAGCTCAGTATAAAGAAAACAAGAAAATGACAAAGGGGAAAGACTGAGAGAGCAAGATATAGATATATATATATATAAAAAGGAAGATAGATCGATATAAAAAAGAGGGCACCATATAGAGAAATGAGAAAGACAGAAAGGAAGAAAGAATGACAAAAAATGAGAGAAGAAAATGGGAAAACGAAGCTTACTTCTAATATCCGTCAGTGTCCCTTCGTCATCAGCCGTGCAGACAAAATTCGTATCCGAGTCTTCATCGAAGCAGTTCACCCAAACATGACGAGTTGACGAGAAGAAATCAAATAGATCCTCGACCTCAGTGATTTCTGCGTCGGAACCAACAAAGAGTATGGACGCATTCCTCGTCCCGGTTACGATAGTCTGGTTTAGAGTAACAGGATTAAGACTGTCGCAGTAAGCGACTGCATTGCTGAAAGTGCTTGCCTCAGTCAAAAGATGGAAACACTTGGTCGCTGTGCACTTCCATTCTGTCAAAAGAAAAACAGTTAGTATAAATACAATTTGTCCTCATTTAGAATATATGTGGTTTAAATGGTAAAGCATGATTACCACAAGATAAACTGATGTACATAACCACATAAAATACCGAGAGAAAATTAATTATATGTATGTGCAATAAATCTCGAAAGAGGCATAAGGTATCGTTCAGTGGCGTGGCTATGGTAAATGTGGCAACTCAAAATGAAATAGAGAAAAAAATAAAGGAAAAAGAGAGAGATAGAGAGAGAGAGAGAGAGAGAGAAAAAGAAAAGAGGGATGAGGAGAGAGAGAGAGAGAGAGAGAGAGAGATGGGGGGGGGGAGAGGAGGAATGGAAAGGGAAAACAGAAAGAAGGCGCTATAAAGTCCTCTTCTAACTGATTCTCCCCAATCAATGGTCTTGTCGATTAAGACATGTGCCCCCAATTATGCTTGTGTGCCCTCAGTGTCTAGGCCCAGGCGACGACACTGATATCGTCAGCACCAAATAATCAAGTTTATAGTTGTAACTGATTTTACTTCTGAATTAAGTAATTTGTATTTAATCTGTTTTGATTTGTACTACTTATGTTCACACACACATAACAATAGTTATCCGTCAAAACTAAAACTTACCGACTATGGTATCACATATATCTCCTCCCCATCCTTCATCACATGTGCAAGTGAAAACGCCCAAACCATCGGTACATACGCCATTTTGACAGGGGTCAGTAGCACACTCGTCTATATCAGCAATCGGTACTCTGTATGAAAAAGGTAGAAAAAGAACAAGTTAAAGATAATGAGCCTGTGTTGGCAGGCACGTAGCCAGAGTTTGATGTTGGGGGGGGGGGGGGGGCACATACATATAATCGATCGAGGTAAAAAAGGGGTCTAAAAAAGTGCAATCGATAGTTCAATCAACCCCCCCCCCCCCCCGTGGCTACGTGCCTGTGTGTAGGTGGAGTCAATGGAGAGGGCCAAGGGTAGACATTTTGACATTTCAGTATAAAATGAATAGCCAATATTAAACCCATTCGCCCTAAAATAAGTAATAACGAACAAAGCAAACATAATCAGCTATCAAACAAACACACACCCACCCACACACGCACACATACGGTCGTATAAACCCACTCTATACGCACAGATTCAAGGACATACAAAGAAAAGCATTACAACCATGACCTTAAAGAAAAAGGAGGCGATAAACATTACTTTAGCATGATAGCAATATCAATCATTTGCTTTAATATTCAGTGATATGAAGAAAGACCAGCTGATTCCGCTGGCTTTGTTTATCACGTTAAATTTGTAAAAAATGAAATATGACTGGTTTACAAAATAATGGCCCTTAGTGATGATGATGATGATAATTGTGATGACTGTATCATTGCGACAAGCTGAGAATGACAACGATACACATCACAATGGTGGAGACTAATGATAAACAGAGATCCAGCTAATTTAAGTTCTTTCTCTCTTTTTCTCTCCCTCTCTCTCTTCCTTTGTCTCTCTCCCCTCTCTCTCTCTCTCTCTCTCTCTCTCTCTCTCTCTCTCTCTCTCTCTCTCATATTCTGTCTATCTCTATATCTCTCCATACTTACATGTGTCCTTATCTAATTTGAGATAAGCAAATAATGAACACAATATTTACCTGTATATCTGACAAACAGTGTTATACGTATCGGTGCATCTTTTATCCTCCCATTTATTGTGATTTGTTACTACGGCAACACAGTCTTGACTACCATCACCGTTTGGTTGAGTAGATTCCCAGTCTAATGAGAGAAGAAAATCATGTTTAAGAAAAAAATGGATCAGGGAAACAGCATTAGTTGATATCGGAATAACAGAAATTATGACTACGTTGATGTCATCAACGAATTATTAAAAATATGACGGTAAAATTCATCTTAAAGAGAATGGTGACTTTTGCTAAAGTTAAAAAATAATTTAAATTTTTCTTACTCTTTTTATGTCACATTGAAAGTATAGTAGAAGCATCTTCTGAAAATTGATGTTATTCAAAATGGCCTTATATTGGAAATATGACGGGAAATAGTTTAGAAGTTAGTACCAAATATTCATCCCATATAGGCCTACCCATTTTTCTGCAGTGCAGCCGATTCCCAGCAAGGTCGACTCATTTTCTCTTCTCTTTTTTCTATGTTTAAAATAATCAACCTTTCCCTAATTTGCATCCAGGCAGTTAATTTCATAAGATAATCGCATGACCAGCATTTGGATTTATACTTCAGTAATTTTCGGTTCAATTTTAGAATACCAAAAAGATCTGGATAATAATTAAGTTTTGGAGGCGATTTACATGAACCATATCTATGATACATGAAAAAAGGCTTATAGTAGTTTTTTGAAGTATGAATTACATGGTCCTAATGCAGGTCGTCAAACATATAAATCTGATTTTTCCCTTTATAGAGCTGGCAGGTAATAGTTAGGCGCTTTGATAAATATATTAAACGTTTCGCATTAAATTTCCCGGGCTGAATGTAACCCCAATATAAAAAAAAATGAGACTGCGGTCAAAAGGGGAGAGGGTGAGAGAGTAAGATAGATATTTAGATATAAAGAACGAAAGAAAGATACATACATAAAGAGAGAGCACCATACAGAGAAGAGAGAGAGAGAGAGAGAGAGAGAGAAATAATGTAAGAGAGAAAGAGAAGGATAGAGAAGAAAGGGCTGTAGAGATAGAAAGAGATAGAGGGAGAGAAAAGAATGAAAGCTAAAGAGTGGGAGATTGATGGACGCGAGAGAGAGAAGAGAGAGAGAGAGAGAGAGAGAGAGAGAGAGAGATAGTGGGACTAAGCGGGAGAGATGGGTGAAAGAAAGACAGAAAGGAAGAAAGAATGACAAAAAATGAGAGAAGAAAATGGGAAAACGAAGCTTACTTCTAATATCCGTCAGTGTCCCTTCGTCATCAGCCGTGCAGACAAAATTCGTATCCGAGTCTTCATCGAAGCAGTTCACCCAAACATGACGAGTTGACGAGAAGAAATCAAATAGATCCTCGACCTCGTTGATTTCTGCATCGGAACCAACAAAGAGTATGGACGCATTCCTCGTCCCGGTTACGATGGTCTGGTTTAGAGTTACAGGATTAAGACTGTCGCAGTAAACGACTGCATCGCTGAACGTGTTTTCCTCAGTTAAAAGATGGAAACATTTGGTCGACGTGCACTTCCATTCTGAAAGCAAAGTAGATAAATTTTATAGATAGAATAGGCAGGTTCTTGGTAATTTGGATTATTTATATATTTTTTTTTTATAAATCTGTTTCCAAATCTTAAGCACTTCTGTGAGTTTATCATTTATACATGTTTCAAATGTTGGCCTATAGGCGCAGGCTTTTGAATGGAGAAACTCAATGGTAATGATCACCATTTTCTAAACCTTTATACCAGTATCCTGCAGGCATAGGCGCTAATACAGGTTTCCCAAATATGATTTTAATATATATATATATATATATTTTAACGGGGTTCTTTTTTAATGTTCCTTTTTAAAGGGAACTAGAGTAAGCCTATACTATGGAGTGGCTGAATTCAAAGATGAGAAACGCAATTATTTGTTTTGCCCCTCCCATTACTAGTCAACCTGGTGCCGACGCTTATTGTAGGAAAAGGGTGATTGTCTCATGTAATAGGTTGAATGTTTGAGGTTACCTTTATCACAAAGATCTCCTGACCAGCCGGCATTACACGTACACGCAAAAGTGTCCTGACTAGACACACACTCCCCGTTTTGGCAAGGGTTGTAGGTGCAGTGATCTAGGTCAGCTCTGGTAAAATGTAGATACAAAATAAACAGACAAAATGATAGTAAGGACTTGATATCATCCGAGTAAGCGTTGACATGCGGGCGCTTCGCTAAATCATTATTATGGCATAAATGGGGTGGATTGTGGACAATCTTCTGAAGACACATTTTAGATCTCCAAATTTGCCAAGCTTTGGAGAAAAAAATTATTCCATTATTCAACAAGCCAAACAATGGTACTTTCCTGTCTCATAGATTATTTAAAATTGGGAGAAGGCGGTGTTGCACACATGTATCCCTTATGACAGAGCCCCAATTACCTCAAATCTATCTCCAAAATTTCTTTAACTGTCCTTCGGGGGGGGGGGGGTAGTTGTCCTCAGGTGGTAATTTTCCAGGGGGGGGGGGGGTAAACATAATTTTCCTTCTTGGGGGTAACTGTCCCGCTGGTAATAGGCCGGGGGTGATTGTCTAGGGGATAAATGTCCTAGAACCATTTGTAACCGACAATGATAAAAGAATCTAGGAGT